TTCTATTATTTTCTCTGTTACCCTTTGGAAATATATTGCATGTGTGCTGAGATGACAGGTGTCTCCTGTACTTAGTGCCACACCAATCCTGAAGTGTCTCTATTATACATTTAGCGTTAAGGATACCGAATTAATTGTTATTTGGCTTTCTGTTTGTTTCCTCATTATGCGTTATCTGTTATTGCATGATTTAAGCGGAATTCTTTTAATGCACTGTAAATTAACCTATACTTTATGCTATTATTTTCTTCTTTGCCCTAAGGAGTACTATTGATTTGATTGCAACGACTGAGAAGTTATTCCTATTTATTATTTCCTGGCCTGGGAGTGATTGGGTTAATTGATACATTACCGGATAAGGCGTAAGACATTTTATACTTTATCAGAGTTGAACAATGATATTATCTGTCTATTATAAATTAATACTTTTTTTTCTTCTCAGTATAAATCTATTTTCTAATTATCGTTATGCATAGAATGATTTATTAGCGCAATACACTTTTCTTCTGGTATTATTTCACATATGGAGGGGAATTTATAAACAAAAAAGAACGCACTTAATGTGAAATTCTTTAATGCACATCATGCGCTGAGGGTTCACATTCTGTACACTTCATTTGGGTGTAGTGGTTTTATAAAAGGGTATGTAAATAATTCTTATGAATGATGATAATGGACTGATTTCTTTATGCTATGTAGTGAAGAATTAATTATTTTTTTCTTTCTCGTAAATATGGTTATTTCACCAGAAGAGAAAGTGAATTATCAAGAGAAAATTTGTAAGCTCGGTATTTAGTAATTATTATCGTAAGTATTTATATGAATTCTATATTTTATTAGCGTGTGTAATTGCATAAAATAGCACCGTATCCTCTAGAAATGCGCTGTTGTTTGCGAATAATATGAATAAAAAATAAAAATCAGTGTAATTCTAGCTATGCAGGAAGAGGAACAATTATGTTTCACCCGGAAAAATAGTAGTTGAAAACCATTTCATAGTAATGTTTTCATATAAATGGAATAAATTGCAAGGAAAAATTTCTTTAAATCAATTTCTACTAAAAATTCTTCGTCGCTTTTACATTTTATTCTGCGCGTAGTGCATTTTTTTTTTTTTTTGATGCAGTGGGCAGTAAATTAAAAATTGTGTTTTTAAATAAATCTAAGTTTTTTTTTTATCCACTGAAATTATATATTTTTTTAAATATAGTGCGCGTAAATTTTGTAATGTTGCGGTATTAGTAATTAATTATTTATTTTCAATCCTTTGCCCATTATTCGCGTCGTGTGCGCGAGGTAGTATATTTTCGCACAGACTTTATTTATTTACGCACCTCCTACATCCATATTGTATGATGTGATTCACCCAATAATATATAAAATGTACACAACTCAATATGTTCCCTGATGTGTTTTTTATTAGAAGTATTTAGACGCTCATATGATGTGTTGTAATGCATCTCATTATATTAGTGAGTTCATCGTAATCTATGGAACCTAAGAATAGATTAGGTGATGTAGCGTTAATTATGAGTATTATAAGGCTGCGTGAATATATTATCAACGGACAAAATCTTGCACCCTTGAATTAATATTATGTATATCGATGAAGCAGATCTTATATGCATCACCGTTGGTAAAATTCGTCTTTTATTTATAAGATGTGTATTGGATAGGCCCCTTTATATGCACATTTTTATTTTATATTATATAGTACAGAAATGGATGTATCATTAAGGGTCATAAAACAGAATTACTATGTGCCTACCTCTCATCATATATGAACTGAAACAGATAAAAACTGAATAACACGAAGGACTAAGAATATCCCCGAATGGATTCCTGAAAAATCTAATATATTGCTACACATTATTTAAATTTTGAATTATTTGTTTTATTGTAACTGCCTTTAGAAGTACTTTCTTTTTATGTTTTCCGTTGTAGCGGTCCTAAGTATATATTGTCACATCTTTGTTGCACTGCCTGCAACATTGACCACCTAATGGACGACGTAACTATTTAGGAAATATAGCGATTTTTATAATTATATGCATACATACCGTTGCATATGTGTATGGAAAGAATTTTTCATGTAATATTTATTATTATCCTGCCACTCTTTCCTTATGGTAATTATGGTTTCTGGGATGCTTTTGCATTACGTAATTTATATTTTAACAGTGTCTTTTGGATAGGAGAGTAATGAACGATTGCAATTTTATAATGCGTTCCCAAGGTCCTCACATTTATTTAACACCTATAGAAATTGTGGACATCTATGAAAAGACACTAGGAATAAGAGATATACATGTATGTATAACGACGTTTTCCATTTTGCATATCGGTAATGATAGTAAATTAGGGAAGAACATACAGAATTTTTCCTTTGGAAGCTCTAAGGGAATTCACATTATCGCTCTGAACTGATGGTGCTTGAATTTCTAGAGAAATAAGAAAAATGGTAGCGCAAGGAATACACGTAATTATCATACCTCTATACATTGCTATCATCTATCGATAACAGCCCATGTGTTTTTGAGCTTTTTACAGCTTAGCATTGAACATATATATACTCAAGCATATACATACATATATATATCATTCCTCCCTTTTATATGTGGGATTAGTTCATGAGTCATAAAGATAGGAAGTGTTAGACTCGTGAATTATGATGCCCCTCTGGCGTCATACAGAGGGGGATACCCAAACACAGAAGCAAGAGGAAACCAAATAGTAGCAGTAGTACATATTCTTATCCAGAAGGAAGACATAGTTACCAGTATATGCAGATTCAGATGAAAGCATTGTTCATGTGGCATAGAAATGTGCCCCCCAGAATTACACGATTGTTCATGACGTGTCTTATCTATGCCTATATAGAGAGAGTAATGGATTGTAGAAATTGAAGTAGTATAATATGAGTTGTAATTTCTTATTGAACTCTAATTGTATATTGCATACAATTGAGAGGGCACATATAGCGATTAAATGTGTTCACGCCTCTCTGTGAAAAGTGCTATAAGTGCAATGCAGCAGAAATATGCAAATGCCATGGGGTACTAGATACCTTTTATAATAGAGGCAGAAGCCAAACCAGGAGCAGATGATGGCGAAACGATTGGTCTCAAGGGACTATTAGGTCAAAAGGGACAAATGATGAAAAAGATTATAGACACAACGGCTGACTTAATAGAGGCAACAACCGAAGGAGCAACCGGCTAAGTACGTATTTCAGAAACCGCGTGTGCCGCAGAGGAAAACAAAGGGTATAGAACAGAAAGAATCCAAAGAAGGGTGACAACCAATCAGGTGACCTAGACAGGCAAGAGGAGATTCTTCTTAAAGAGAAAACAAAAAAACCAGAAGAGCCTGGAACAGTAATCAAGACGTACTATCACACTGGAGTGATAATATAATGTATCCACCAGGCCGAGTGAGATTCCTAATGAACAGGCTGCCTCAGAAGGGAACAGACCAATGTAAGATAAAAGGGGAAGATTAGATTCACCTTGGTTGATACGGCCCCCTCCCCGGAGTCATATAAAAGAAGAAGATGCGAAGCCCTTGTAAGTCGGCAGGACATAGAAGAGTCCCTAGGAAGGAACAGGCGCGAAGGAGGCGAAAGAAGTGAATAGTCACTGAATAATACAAATCCTAAAGGATTAGGAGGTGGGCTTCATTACAGCTCCCTCAAAAGTAAAGAATACGTGACACCCGTCCTTCCCCTTCCAAAAACACGAGTTCAGTAATCGAAGAAGCGGATGACAACTCCCTACTTAGAATACACCGTGCCTACTGTCTGAATTTGCGAAGAAGAGGAAAGGATCTAAGAGTAAAGAGGAGGCAGTAGAGAATGCTAAACCAAAAAATACGGCCCGTCAGGGCGGGCAAGAGTAGTAGTACCAGAGAAAATGAATCAGATTCCTGAGGGTAAGATTCCAATCCGTAATGAAGACAAGGAAAATCCCTTAAAGGAGTATGAGTTGGGAATCTTCCGTGCCTCTCATTAGACAAGATGCCGAGAGTAGTAATCATAGTTCTGAGGGACGAAGAAATCCCAATAACCCCCTAAAGAATGAACAAGTAAGCAAAGGAATCACTAGAAATCACCCCAAGACAATTGGCGGAGATCTAGGAGTATGAAATAATGATAATTCCTGAGGGCAAAGAGAACAAGAACAACAAGAATCAAAAGAGTAAGACGGAGCAACCAAAAATGACTAAGAGAGATCAACGTGTCAGGGTCCGCAGATGACATATGATAAAGTTATTCTAAGTTGAAATCTCGCCAGGTCAAGTAAGTTAATTCAGAAGCCCAAGAATCAAAGGAAACTGCAGTAACTCCTCAAACAATGTTCCAAAGAAACTAGGAATGGAGCTATAAGAAGCAAAGGACTAGGACACATTGAGTCCTAACCTTTGAAGTGATAAAAGAAAAGAGAAGGGATTATAATATTAGAGGATAAAGAACATTAGGAGAGAAGATAAGGAAAACTAATCCCAGCAATCATGCAACCTGTAATAGGTAGGCCTAACAGAAAAATTCGGGGGTTAAATTTCTATTCAACCGCGATGACCGAGGAGCAAATACGACTCCCACCGAAGGATGTCTAAAGGCCTTTACCAGGGAGAGGCTTAAGTAGCCCAAACCAGCACAGCCCCTGGGGAACATCTCAAGAGTTCCCCCGAACCAGAGAAAATACCTTTTTGCTGAACTCAAGAAAATATCAACAGTGAAAGAGGAGATATGAAGATGAATACGAGATGGGCAGGTACCACGCCACGAGTGGAAGGTAAGCAAACCTAGAGGAGCGAAAAGAGAATCGCGAGAAAAAGTCATGTTTTCTTTTCCCCAAAAGATGGAACGAGTCAGAGGAGAGAATGGAAAAGGACAACATCCATTGAAGTAACAGAAGAAATAAGGCTCAGCTAAAAGCATGAAGAAATCCGAATAAAATTAACCGATAAGAATCTCCCAGAAACCACGCTAGTCCAAGAATAAGAGGCCAAGTACAATAAGACGAGATAGATTTCAAAGAGGTTGGTGACAAACTTAAGAGAATATTTCAACGATGATAACGTATAAAAAATGAAGACAAAAAGGAAGGACAAAAATCGGGGCTTCTAACGAGGCAGTAGATAACAAATCCTGGAAGGAAACGACTCCACCAGAAAGAGGAGGAGGATATCTCCTGAAAAGCCTTAACAGCAAGCCTCAAGTAAGGCTGAATGGTGTGAAGTCGGGAAACGCCAAATTTGGATTTCCACAGCCATTAAATTGATTAAGAATTTACCCCCCGGGATATTGTGGTCAAAAACTCCAAAGTCCTTCATCAAATACAAAGAGTACCGTAAAACCAAAAGGAGCCCCCCTAACAGGAACACTCCCCCCCCTAGGAGCATGAGCAGTTACCTGAAGAGATTGTAACTATAAAAGGAGGAAAAAGGAGGAGGTTGACTATCCTACGCAGCAGGAGATGCCCCGTAAATTTCTGCAAAGAGCAAGAGTAAGTATTAATGATATCTTTACAAGAAGGATAACATCCCGGAGCTGAAAGTAAAGGAATAGAGTGTAAGTGAAAAACGAAGTAAGCTAGCCTCAGAGTCTAGAAAGCAGTATCATCAGTAAGACTCGAGGAACATCAACCTCGTCTACATGATTAAAACACTAGGATCAGAAGTTTCAACATTAGCTAAAATAATATGTCCAGAACAAGGAATTTATTACCAGTAGAAGAACCAAATAAGAAGAAATCTAAGTGGCTAAATAGGATTCTGATTCCCTGAGAAGGGCCAACTATCCGTAAGATCCCAGAGAGTCCGTATAAAGGGAAAACCTAGAAATCAGAAGAAACTCAAGCCAAGGAAAGATAATGTGAAGGAGGCCATATATCTTCTCTTAGAAACAGGAAGCACAGATCTCTTTGAATCCAAGGAAGAGAATTCTTATGAGAGCAGTTACGTCACCTAATTATTCAAGAATCCCAAAATTCCTCGCAGCAGGGAAGATTGTCATAGCGAGGAAGTTAAGATCCCATAAGCGAACCGAAGCGAGAAATAAAAAAGAAAAGGAGGAAATGAAGTGTGAAGAATGCCCCGGAGTCCTCCTCCGCACGCTTCAAGGTTGGTCAAGCATGATAGAGCCGTAGAGACTGGAGATATATGGAGGCTAATATATTAGCTGAAGTAAATTAGAAGGAAGCCGGGAGAGAGAGAGGGCTGAAAGTCCCGCATCACCAAACGACCTCTCCAAGGAAAAAGTCGCAGGAAAAGCAATAAAGAAAAGGGAGCATGATGAATAAGTGACGATTTAGTCTTTAGGCGAGCCAACTCACAGCCCCCTAAACCCTGATGTTTCACCCAACCCCCCCAGAAGCAGCTGATGAAGAAGGGACACCGCCTCAACGCCGCAGTAGATGGAGGTGAGCTTTAAGAAATGAAACGACTTCCTAATCCAATAAATCATAAGGCCTAATATGTAGATTCTCTTTTCGCATCCGAACGCCTAAATACAACAGAGGAACCCGTCCGGGGTTAGAGGAATAGGCAGAGGAAAAATTCCCCTACAGAAGGTTCATTATGAAAAAATACAATTAGGATGAGAAAAAAGAATAAGTAACAGACAAACATAACAGGTTAAGGACAGGGGCTTCAGAGGATTCACTCGACATAATAGGGATCAGTAGAGAACCTTTATATCAGATTAGGGGATAGGGCAGGAAACTTTCTCTGATATCGAGGAAGGGTGTGGGAAAGGATTCTAAAACAGAAGGATAAAGTCAGCTACTTTTAGCCGCAGGAGAAGATATGTCATGAATCCCATTCTGCGGCATTTTCTCTGCTAAGCAGAATTATATCAGAGTATAGAATCTAGTCGTGTATTTCGTAAAAGAACCCAGGGTTTCCGGAACCCCCGCACACAAGAAGACGAAGCCTTCGTAAACAATTGCAAGTGGAAAAGGAAACTGGGAAAAGAAGAGGGAGGAAGCAGTGCATTCCAAGTGGGGAACCAAATCTGAACAGATTAATCGGGGAGCAGCTGAATAAAGCAGGTACAGAACAGGTCCCTCCCGGAGCAGAGGAAGTAGATAATTTAGGAAAAGTTGAACTCGTGGCCCCCACTTATCTTAAGAAGAGAAAGTTTCGAGAACGAGGAAACTCTCCCCTGAGTTCTGAGCGCAAACGATGAATCAAAGGAACAGAAAGTAGTTAAGAATTCTCCCCAACTGCTCAAAGCCCTGATGTTTCCCATAGTGAACAGATTAATAGTCAAGGGACGAGTAATGAATCACAATCAAGGAACAAGAGGAGGGGGCATTCAACTCCAACGAGTCAACCGCTGGAGGAAGCATCTCCTAAGCCTTCCCCAAGGAATTAAGCTTTTCCAAATCGTACAAATAGGACGTGGGAGATTAAATGGAGCAGAACAATAAAGTGAGTTTGACTAAGTCCAAACCCTCAAGGGAGATGAGTTGCCGAAAGTTTAGGGAATATCATTCCAAGTCAATTAGGCAAAGCAGTGACCTTCAGTACAGAGTATATATTGATCCTTCCTCTAGGGGGCCCAGAAGAATTAAGATGCAGTATATTGTTAAAATAAAGAAAACCTAAAGTCTCTAGCTAGGCGCCTGGGCTTACTTCCCCTCCCTCAGGAAATCTCTAACCTCAATGGACGAACTCTCAGTAACTAAAGAATGGAAATTAAAGGAATGGATAAGAAAAGACGAATATTTATGGGGCTTCAAGTACCCGAAAGCCTCAGGAGAACAATGTACGTCAAACAAGAAATATTGTTATCCGCATCTCACGAAACAGGGCACTCCAAGATGGGGGGATTTGGACCACTGGATCGGGACAAAAATGTTTCAGAGTGCTAAATACAAATGGGGAGACAATATTGATCCAGAAGTCTGGACAGGAATCGGGGGCTCAGGGGGACAGGACAAGCTGACGTGGGGGGATATCGTTAATAAAGTTTTGAATGAGATAGAGGCACAAAGCAGAAATCAGTCAAGTGTACCAGAAGGTTCACTAATCTGGGATAAAGAAGAATGGGCAAGCGCATTAGGGGCACTAGGAGCCCCAACGGAGCCGTTGGATCAATTTGAGGAAGGCAGAAGGATGTTATTAATGATAATGTGTATAATAACAGGTTTGATAGAAGGGAAGGAAAGAAACGGCCGGATTTTTGAGAGGAGAGGAAGAGTGTGTAGTTTAATAGATACTGGTCTGGAGTTTAAGAGGGAGAATTGGGACCAATGGATAGAAAATAAAGGGAATGTAAGAGCCACAAAGGAGCATCCATGTTCGAGAACCCGAGGAACTGACGGATGCCAGTTGGCCGGGCTAGCTTTAATCTTGAGTGTGTACAAGTCAATGGCAAGAGTATGCGGAGAGTGTGGACCGTATAGACTGACTTATTGGATAAGAGCAGATAATGAAGAGCTTGAGGATGATCAGATAGAGTTTTGTTCTAAGATTGAAGAGGGAAATAATTGTGACAATTCAAAGGAGGAGCCAAAGACGCCCCAAGTGATAATAGTAAAGCACAAGAAGATGGAAGCAGTGACGAGGCAGAGAGTATTTGAAAGCAGCGCCTTACTGTATGAACAGCTTCGGAAAAATTCAAGTGGAGCGATGGAGACTGGAAAACTAGTACAGGTTACAGGACGCGAGAATAATAGTGTAGACAGTTCGGAAGCAAGTGGAAATGATGATCATTCCCCCGTGACAACAGCGGAGTCTAACTTGACCAGGGAATGCTGTGCCTCCACAATCATAACTAATCAGCAAAGCCTAGTCCAGGAGGATGAGATGAGCAGAATGGTGACCAAAAATGAGTCGGACCTCCAGCCCAACATTGCAGACTCCTTAAGTCACCCTAAGGTTGATGAGAGCACAGACCAGATTCCAAAGGAGTGCAACGATTCCCCACCCCAGGGGGGTCTTGGACAAGATCCAGAAAGGGGGTCAAAGGAGTCAGGAAGTGGTATGGGTAACAGGGGAGTGCTTTTGGAAATTGGGGGCGGCTGGTGGTTAATCATAGGTTTGGCAGGTGTCCTCTGCTTAGCATTTGGGAGTGCTTATGGTTTATGGAGAGTCTTTAGGAGTGATAGAAGGAAGCAAAAATCCCAATTGCCAAGTGGACGGGGCGATAACTATGGCGTTGCGTATGGATCAGCGAGCGTGTAGCACACGGGCGGAGAGGGAGTTGGAGAACAGTACCTTAGGAGTTGGGGGAGGCGTTTAGAGTGTGAGGATCCTCCTGGGTCCTTCATGTTTTAGGCTTCATGGTTTAGAGTTAGGAAATGACGGCGACTATTATGACCTCCATCCCAGCCACTTTAGTACCGTCCTCTACATCATTGAATCAGACCCTATGTGTGCCTCTGGGTGCACTAAGGGGTTATGTCCCCTGTCATCTTACCCTACTTCCATATGTTAGTTATCCCCCGAAGAATATGTTATGTGTTCAAGTGAGTGCCCACGGAGTCTACATTGTGTCAATATGTGTATCTTCTTCCGTTTTATTAGTCTGTTTGGCCGTTAATTATTAGTGAATCCACCACTATATGGTTTTGAGTGGACTTAGATTGTCCCAAGTAAGATAGTGAATAGAAACATTCTGTTCCCCTAATTAGTTATGAAGAGACGTCCTTGTCAAGAAGGGATTGATAGGTGAGTCACTATAAAGAATCAATCTCCTATGACGTGGTCTGTATTGGGATGTCCCTTCCTTATAAAGAGTTGTCCAGACAGAGTGACCCATAGACAGCCCACACATGTCGCCTTTCGGACGTAGAAGATTTGTTGTTTTATCGATCTGTTTTGCTTTGTCCCATCAGAACAAAGGGGACACCCTGTGAAGTAGAACATTTCGATATAATGCAGGGGTTACCATAATATATATATATATGCTGGTAGGATGAAACAGGGATGCTGGCAAAATCGGTGGTATCGTTTCTGATGGGTTATATGATGATCACTACTTAGGGAAAGACAGGGCTGTTCCTAAAATACCATATTTCTACATGTTTCTCTTCCGTGTCAAATCTGATGAATCCCGTTTCGCAAACATATAAGCAGAAAGTTCCTCTTTTTTCCATCTTACTAAGAATGCCCTCAATTCTTTCAGTAAAAGATACATTAATTGTTTTCTCATTGGAGCAATAGATATGGCAAAAAAATGGCATAACTTCTATTTACGTTCATAAATGAATGATAGACGATTTTGTAATTACATCTTTACGGCAGACTGATCTCATATGTAAGTAGTGGACAACGTGGACTTCGGGAATGCTGTGGTACTTATATTGGCTTGGTGTTCTTTTTTCTTCTAATGTTGACTTAGGATATTCTCTCTAAGGATATTTTATCAAGGTGTGATTTTTACTGCAGTGTCTTCAGTGGGGCGTGCCCTGTTTCATATCGAACCGTCCGGATGGGGGAAAGCATCTTAGGTAAATTCCATGTCTGTGGGTGTTTCATAGAACAGTGTGGCCTAATTTGGTAGTTGCGAGGGAATACAGAATCCCATATGTCATGTTTATCATTAAGTGAAAGAGATGGACAATAATCTCTTTGCACTTGTTCCGTATGTTTCTAGGCTTTTATGTATAAGGAGTATTTAAGAGAAGAAATAGGGGGACTACTCTCAGGATCCTTCTAGGGGGATTATTACAAATAGGAAATTATGCATTCACCATTTGGACATTTCTTCTCCATTGTATGTTACGGAAAATTTTTGTATTCCCACATTCAGGACAAATGGGGCATAGAATCGTATATAGAATATTTCGCGGCCTTCAGATATGTTCCTCACCTGATGAGGCACAATCAGTCAGTTGCGTCTCTGGATGTGCTACGAATTGCCATTGTCCCCAACAGTGGGGTTGATTATCTTCTTAATTTCTTACCTATTTCACTTAATTCGTCTTCTTGTCTCTAGAAGTACATATTCCCCTCGTTTTCCCGGTAGAAGATCCTCGCATGTTTCTTTACTCTGTATTCATAAAAATTCTCTGAGGTCATCTGATTTTGTGGCATCCGTATGAACACCATTCCAATGTGACATGTAAGTATGCGTTTAATATTCCGCCCCTGAAGCTTTTCTCCTACTTCTGCATCATTATCATGGTGGTGAGCGCCTTCATCTTATTGTCTCTTTTTCTCTTTTTATATGAGGCCTGTAAATCTTCGCGTTTTATACTCAGCGTTTTTTTCTTCCTTGACATCCGCAAAAAGATTCTGTGTGTATCTGCTATGTTTGGGGACGTCTCCATATTGTCGTCGTCCAAGAGGTTTCTTATGTGGCCCCTTATGTACAACTTCACGTCTTGTGAATCCTATTGCTCTTCGTATCCATCCAGAAGCATCATGAATAGCGGTATCCACACTTCTGTATGTACTTTCCCATCTGTAAGTACACGCAATCCGTGATTATGCACTTCCTGTTTTTCTTTATCGCATCCTATTCATGCATTGTTATTGGTCGTCTTATGTATTACATACTTGGGTGTGTCCTTATCGTAGAGCCTCATAAGTTTGTCGAAGGCACTATCTGTAATGTATTGTATCATATGTATGTGTTGTTTCGAAACATAGTTGCCACATACACTTCCTCGCCTTTGTATGAAGGGAGTTTGTCGTTCTCCGTTAAGCTTATTGCTTTTAGACAGTACATTTTCCTGAAGACATTATTCTTACCTTGTCTGTGCCTGCTAGAAATTGTGAAAGTAATTGATCTCCTTCAGCATATGAGATAGATACGAGTATTTATGTTTCAGACTTTGGCACCGATTTTTTTGTAGGTACAGATCACCACAGTTGTCTGCATCTATCCTGGATACCTTGCTTCGTCAAGTAATTCCACGTGTTACACTTGTATTTATCATAAATGTGTGCACGACTACTTGGAAGAAATTTCCCTTGGCCAATTCGCATTCTTTTTTCCTCTAAGAGTTCCGTATGTATATCTAGAATCTTCTGGGAAGCATTTCCTTCTTATTTTGCATGTATACATTTTCTGGGAGGTGTTAATTACATATTAACTATACATATTAAGGGCCGCAGCATGGCATGTCATCACTTTATATATTCCTCTTTTCCTCGCAGTGAGGGCCACACATTGCTGTTTGCACGTATGCTCTTCTTCTGGATTTGTGCTTCCTGTATCTGAGTGTAAACAGCGATTCTAGGGGTATGTATTGCGCTAAGGAAGAGAGTTGCAACAAGGGGTTAGCCCCCGTTCTTCAGCTTCCCCTAAATACTGACCACGTTGCACTAAATGATATTTTCCGCCTGTGCATCTATATACATATATATATACTTCCCTAAGAAAGATAGCTTCTGTAATGACACTTCCGACTGTTATGATAATAACTGAAACCTCAATAAAGGCAATACAATCATCATGTAATGTTAGGGGGGCTACACCGCGGGTGGGGTGTGCTCAGGATCGCAGGTTCCGTATCCGGAAGAGTAGTAAACATAATAACAAAGGGGGGACATCTCTGGCACTCAAGGACATTATGTACTCCCTATAGCGAGGAATTTATGTGTGGTGGGCTGTGACAGATTTGCAAAAATTGATACGTGAGGAACCGAGGTAGGTTGATAAAGTGGACGGAACCTGGTCGGAGAAGGAATTGGTCGTGAGGCTCTTTGGGTAATATCCGCGGCTGGGGGATTGGAGGCAGGAAACCTTCAATCTGTGCGTACAATATCAGGAGATTGAATAGTTCGGGCGATAACTATACCTTCCGAATTTGTAGTTATTTTACACTTATATTCTCCGGGTGCACAGGGGGTGTCATTCCTTTCAACCTTTCAGCCCGCAGCAGTCTAGTAGTTGCTGATATTACTGCAGTTCTACCTGCAGCACAATTTGTTTTCTTATACAGCTGCCACTTCTCAAATGTTTATTTAAATATATCGGAATCCTCACCGGTGCTTCGACAATTTTTTCGTGGGTGGCGTCCTCTCATTAGGGGGGGGAGGATCTGACTGAAGTTCTGAATAATAACTTGGGCGTCGAAATATATTGTCAGAGGGACTAGATGTTGTAAACTCTCCTTTGGATGAAGATGTATCAATAGTTGCTTTTCGTATAGGACTTTCATTTAGAAGAAGGCTATTTAGCTTATGCAAGCACTGTGCTCCTTTGGGCCAAAGTAATGAATTTCGCATACAACCTTTTTCCCATTGGAGTCTCCACTGTGAAAGACTTCTGCAAATTCCTGTCCCGACAGTATACACGGGAGGCCTACGCCCCTCATTAGGCCTTTCCTTACTCTTTCGTATAGATAATGAGGATCTATACAGGAACCGAAAGTCCTAATAATGGTGAAACAAGTAGTCAAAGGACCGGACATATTTACATTAAAAATCTTCCTGGGGTGTTCTTGGGGGGTGAAACTGTGATATAACATTTATGAAGTATTGTATGAAATCAGCTAGCATATCGTGTGAATGAACACATTAGATGTGTGTGTTAGTATCGTGGTATCGTCCCTTAATATTATTCAAGAAGGTACAGGATGTGTTTTATATATCTCGCATGGAGTCCGCGATGCTCAATGCTACTGTTCATAATGACTTAGATGTAGATATTCTGAAGTAGTAATTTCCCCTATATTACATTGTGTATTATACCGATCCGTTCGTTTTACATCACATTGTCATCCCTGACATATTCCGGGATAATTTATGTATGTTGCGAAAGATCATGTAATAAATACATATTGCTCTATGAAGGAAAAAATTCAGACACTGCGGAGATGTCATGAACAAGTACGTGGAATAATAGTGTGGCTAGGTATATTATATGCAATAGGCCAAAAAATACCGTCACGAAAAAATCTTCACCTCAGTTCGCTATGTTTTTAGATTCCCAAAAGAGCTTTGTTTTTCCATAAAATGATAAGAATCGGATTAGGAGCATAGGTATTTTTTATAGATCCCTCTTATATTAATAAAGTGTGGGAGGGAGGGCGCCATGCTGATTGAAGTCAGTCCCTTGATCATGAGATAGGGTGTAGCCCCTTAGTCAATTCTCTATAAAGGGATACGTTAAATCTGAGAAGCAGAGGCAAAGAAGGAAAAAAAGGAAAAGAATTGTACTATTATACAGTACGTGTCATGTCATGATACACCATGTGGGAAAACTGTGGCGTTTCAGACATCACATATGCATTTATCGGAAAGTGTAACAATTAATCTTAATTTGCACACAGGCGAAAAATGATATATAGATACCGCATCTAAGGCACCCTCATAGCCCTCCGTTAACCATCTTTTTTTCGGATAAAAGAGGATATGTAAAAATTCTCCGTTTTTTTCTGCTTCCGGCGTTCTGTTTTTTCTGATTAATTAATTCTCGCCTTTTGCTGATCGTGAACTGCTTCAAGCATTTCTGGAAACTATTTTTTCGCGCTATAACAGTAAAAAAACGTGTAGTTATCCTTCGTTAATAATGCGGAACGGAAGGCCTCCGTGCGCGAAGAAAAAAAAAGAATTGGAACAAATTAAGTATAACATATATCATGTGGTGTCATTGGACTGTATAGAAGGCGTATATTATGGGATTTAATTTCGTTCGGAAGAGTGCCTCCTCCTTGAAAGCATATGGGCGCTCCATTATGTATAAACGCATCTTATGCACTATCAAGATATGATGAATTATGAAAAAGTACCCTGTTGACATGAAACTTCGAATTATGTCAACCCGACGAAATATACTCCTTCCGTCTATATGATATGGTATGTGACATCACAATTAAGAGTGATGTACAAGATAGATTCATACTTATATACACTTTTCTGGGGATTATTTTATGCAGCTTAAGCTAAGGAAAAGTCACTGCGTAACTTTTATATTTCGAGCGAGATACCAACAGGATGGTAAACGAAGGCGCAGAATCAATGAAGTGTAAAAACATGTTATGTTGCGGAGAGAAAATGTTTCACCCATTTGAACCTTTTTTGAAATTTCCACAGAGCATCACGTAACGAAACATGCGACAAAACCTCAGAAACAGAAACGCTTTACAGTGTTCCATATTTTCCTGATTACTATGTATATGTTACGATTACTCTATGTACAACTAATACTAAAGTTCATCGAAAGAAATGGATCACAAGACAAAAATCCGTACACATATATTTTCTAAGCAATACTGAGTAATATGAAACAGTCCCCCAAGGTACTGTCCGCATCCTGTGAAAAAGTCATTTCTTATTATTCTTCACTTGTTCATTATGTAACTGAATCTATTTTTGTGGACATTTTGAAGGACGAAGAAAGGAGTGATGAGTTGTATTATAGAATTTCCACCCTGCAAGGGCGGCGGTAACATTATGTGGTTTATGGTGTAAATAGTCCTATCTAATCTGTATTATATTTGAATGTTCAGCTGACAGTTTATATTCTTTTGATGCGCAAAGCAATTAGTTGGATGATCAATGGTCCTTAGTACACCAGTCGTCGTGTTCTATAACGTATAAGGTGTAGCATAATAGGAAATGTACATTTACGCAGAATTCAATTTTAGCATAGTGAATGTGGATGCGCCTTCGGGTTGTATCATCCCCATGAGTCTGTTTTATCATGTTTCTGCACTTCTATGAGAGAATTTTTTCATGGCGCCCCTTCCCTAGATATGCGAGTTCATGTGGCCTAATTTCGCAAAGGTCGCTTCACGTCGCGTAATTTCGCAAACGTCGTTTCACGTGGCCTAATTTCGCGAATGTGGTTTCACGTGGGGTAATTTTGCCAACATAGTTTCATGTGGCCTAATTTTGCCAACGTAGTTTTAGGTAGCGTAATTTTTCGCGGACCGGTTTCATGTGGCCTCCTTCCCAAACTCTTTTCATGTGGATCAATTTTTTGGGGGTTCCCTTCATAGGTTATACCGGTCGCACGCGCCGTGTGTTGTTTGGCTTTATTATATATATTTCTGTACTTAATTCTTTCATGAGGATACACTTCTTTGCTGCATTTCTTTGACGAAAATTCTTTGGAGGTTTTTTTTATGATGACATTTTTGGCAGCACCTCTATGAAGATACCACTTCCCCTGGCATTTCTATGAATATGCCTTTTTCTGCTGTATTTTTATCACGATTCTTTTTGTGTAGTTTTTTCATCATGTTGCATCCCTTCTCCTGCATTGTTATGGTGTTCACCCTCCGGATCATTGTGCTCTTGTGCTGTTACGTCACTTTGCTGTGTACTGTTTCGCCGCGGCATCGTGATTCTTTTTCCTTGTTTGGCATTCTTCTAACGATTCTTATATCTGGCATGTCATTATAATAATGCCTCTTTGTATTACATTTCCGAATACCTACATCGTTCCTGTTGCCTTAATATGAAGATTTTCGTGTGTGTGGCATTTTTCTCAGGATGATATTTTCTGTTGCATTCTTATGAAGTTCTTTTTCTTTATTTTGCGTCATCGTGAGGTATCTTCCTTGTTGGGCATCTTTCTTCTCATGACCTATTTTACCGCGTTGTACTTTTAATATATCATTTCGCTCCCCATTTTTATAGAGATTGTTTCCTTTGTCGTGTCACTATTAAGATTCTTGTGTGTGCTGCATTTCCTTTCTGACGATAGTCCTGTCCTGGGGTGTTGTGATGAAGTTTCCCGGGCCATGTCATTATGAGAATTTTTGTTGGGGTGGCATTCTTACGAAGATTGTTTTGATCGCGTTATATGGATGATATTCTTCTTTTCGACTCTTCTATGAAAATGCCTTTTCTTTTTATCATGTTATTGCGATGGAATTTCCTTGCGAGGCATCCTTCTTATGAAAATATTTCTGTGCCGTGGCATTCCTTATGATCCTACTTTCTGGCTGCAGCTTGAATATATTGTTTTGTGTCATTTCCTCTATATGGAGGGTTCTTCCTCGCGAGGCATCGTGAAGATGTTCCTCTGTTTGTCATGTTTTCTACGACGATATATTTTTTTTGCGGCATTTTGAAGATTTCCTCTCGTGTGTGATTTCCTTTATGAATATGCTCGTTTTCCGCGGCATGGTTAAGATGCTGTTGCGTTGTTTATCTTTTTTATGAAGATTATTTTTTCTCCTGGTATCTCCCCGACGTTTCTTTGTTTCGTCCTTTTGAAGATGTTCTTTTGCATCGATTATTGTGAAAATGTTTCTTCACGTTACATCATTGTGAAGATGCCTTCCTGGCTGGATCTTTCCAGATATGTTGTATTGTATGTCATTGTTTTTTATTAGAGATTTTTCTTCCTTAACATTCTGATGGACCTATTTTTTTTCTCTCTATGTGAAGCCATTATGAGGATATTTCCTTCCTTTGGCTATTTATGAAAATGCCCACATATGTGAAGTATAAATAGCGTGACCATACTGATGTGGTAGCATTACTAAACAGGAATAATCTATCGATGTGTGAGAGGGCCCTCTTATCCCTGGTGTATTATTCCTTTAAAAGTCATGATGTCCATGGAATACTATTATGTGAAAAATAGTGTTACCTGGATAACATTGTTAATTGAAAACGGAAGCTGTTTCAAGAGTAGGGATCTCCTGCAGTTTTATTGTAGGAAAGCTATTGACGTGTCCGTAGTACTCATATCCCGAGAGTATTGGCATGTTCATCGTCCCGTTATTTCAGGAGCACAAAGTAGATTCGGGTATTCTTTGCAAAATATTGTTTTGCTTTCCTGACGCTGGTGCTGCGCCCCGAGGCATGTGTACTATTGTTATATGAGGTGCCTGAGTATTCTACAGCAGTGGCTTAGACTGTACTGAGGTGTCTGCATTTTCAATAGTCAAGAATCCGGAGATTCTTGTAGTACTGTTATATGGAAGTGGTAGCAGCTCAACTATTTGCATAACCTCTACTGGTATTATACTAAGCGGCACCATTTTGTGTTGTGTCATAATGAATATCCTTATATTCAAAATACGATCTTATGAAAGATTACATGTGTTCCAACATTAGTTTCATGTTAAGAGTATTGTCCTGTGGGTAATACTTCTATCTAGACACCACAGTTTCTTAGTGAGTACTCTTGATTTGCCTTGCCAATATGAAGAAGGTACAGACGTATGTATAGTACTCATATTTGGGGATAGCTGACTTG